GTTGGCTATGAAAATATTTTTGATAAAATTTTTTCTTTTATGAATAGAATGGGACGGGTTTTTGTTCTTATTATTAAAATAAATATACGTATGGCATATTTCTCCTAAAACAAAGTAAATGATTATGTTAATGAAAATTTTCTTTTTATAGCCATATTTGACCATATATTCTCATTATATTTGAATGTGATTTAGAGGGGTTTATTTAAATTAAAGTTTTCAGCGAATTATAAATGAGTAAAAACATTAACAACTTTAATATAAAATAAATTTTTAATATATCAAGTTTTTGTCTATTATAGTTAATATTATTATGTCATAAAATTGTCGTAATTATACCGTTTGTTCTTTAAATAAGAAATTTGTATGTAGAAGAAGAATATTTTTTTAATTATTCAGATTAACCGGTAAAGAGATAGTTACTAAAAATAACAGAAAACATGACCAAAAATCATATTCTATATAATCCAGTTTTTGCGAAAAAACTTCTATCCTAAATTATTATATTTTTATTTAAAAATTATTTCTACATCCCTAAACTATTCACATCTTTCGTTCTTCATTAATTATTTCTAATTTAAATTCACTCGTTGAGCATGAAAATCAAAATTAAAGAAAATATTAAAGAGATCCTTAATCCATATATTGGACTCAGGCATCATTACCTTCAAAATGAGGGGGAGGGGGTCTAGGTATTCGTTTGCCGTTACATCTTTCAATAGCAGCATTCATTTCCTTAAGACTATAAATAGTGTGCTTAATAATTGATCTATGCATTCTTCCAGATAAACACAATTATATTATCCCCTACGAGCTGTTATGTCAATAAATCTTCAATCGCCCATTGTCTTTCTTCATGTTTGCAGATAGATAACGTTTCGAATTTCTATTATCGAACCCTACAACCAAATTAACTAACTTTATTTGTCAAATTTGACAGTGGCTATGAATGGAATGAAGCTATCCCCACCCAAAATCTCGGACTTCATCTATTTTCCGAACAATTAAGAATATCCATTGGTTTTAGCATTGGTTGCAATATCATTTCTTCTTTCAACCATTACCTTTGTAACATTCGTAAAGAAAATGGATACCATCCATTATACTGCCGATTCTCTAGAGCTGCTATCTCAGGCATAGCGCAGTCAACAATATAATATCCAAAGCTATAAGAGCCAACTTACCATACACCCTCAAACCTTTACTTCTCAATACTTTATGATTAGAGGCTAGGTGGCTAAACCATAATTCCACTAGAAAAGGATATCCCTCTCGCTTTCGAATATAACACCCACGAAAGCGCTCTTTCGGTGGCGGAAGTAAAAAAAAATATTCAGAGCTAAACAGTATTAAATTCGTATATGTTATCACATCAGCCCACGGAAATTTCGGCCACGAGGGTGTTTCCTTCCTGAAGGAGATAGGAAGATAAATTACCGATCTTTAGGAGGATTCTAAAGAATATTTCTATATTCGCTAGAAATCTGGCTTAGAAATTTGTCGTTATTTCTTATCAATGGCTCCATATAGTCGTTTATAATAGTATTTTTATTTCTCATTTATTTTAGTCTTTTTTTAAAAATACTTTGTTTTAGCATATATATTTAATACATATATAATTGTAATGAGAATAATATAATATAACATTTAACTAAATAAAAGAATGAAAGAAAAATTAATCATTTAGTTATAATTACTATCTGTAATATGAAATATAAATTTTTTATGTTATATTTTGTGTCACATAGTGGTATCACATTATAATCTTTATGCAAGGGTGATTAATAGATATAATACCAAGCGAGAGCGTGATATTTGTTGTTAGTTTAATATTTATAAGAATTTTTATTTATGCGTGAAATTTTTTTTATTAATAAATAAAATATAAAGAGAGTGGGGTAGGGGAGAGGGGTAGGGCGAGGGGTCAACAGATAAAAATCATATCATAAACTTCATTGACGTAACCAAGGAGAGGAGGAGGCATATCTTTTCTCTTTATAAAATTTACCCGATTTTTGCATAATATTTTCAACAAATAAACGTTGATTTATTTATATTTTAAAAGTTATAACGCGGCCAAAGTCCTTCAAGTAAGGGGGCCTTAAAAATATCCAGCAACATATATTTTAATAGGGGTTTTTTTCAAAGTCACCCCCTCCCTTCTCCCTTTTACAAAAATCTCCAACCGGCCTGTACTATAAAAATAAATGTAATTATATTATTTAATAAAATTTTTTTTATTTTTGAAATGAAAAACCATTCTAACTAAAGTATATTTAAAAAGGTTTACATATCTTCCAGAGTAGCACTGTTGCCAATTAATCGACATTGAGGTGATAGTTATTTTTTATTAAATACTTGATCTGAGTTCTATTTAAACGAAACCATTTTTTAAAAAACCTAACTTACATTTTAAATCTATTAAAAAACAAAATATCATGCGTTTTTTTGAAGCGTTTTTAAATTTTGAAGTGATAGCATGGATACAACATCTTCTAAAAAGTAAAATAATTAATACAATAATATTTTTAGCTTATGGAATTATGATATTACAAAAAGATTTGCTAATTAAATATAGAACAATTCTTTTTTTTTGTTTAGAATTTAGACGTTTCATATTTTAAAAAGAAAAGTCAATGCTTCAATTACATAGCTGAGTTTACGTGTTTTTATTTGCATTTTGAAACACTGCGTTGAAACGTTCAATTTGTGCGTACTATTATGCTGATTTTTTGGCAAACGCTATTCTTTAGCATTAGTCACAGAGAAATTTATTTAAAAGTAAAGAATGGAGAGATTTTTCAAGTGCGAACATTTCTAAATACGATTAAAACAAGAAGAAAAAAGAGAATTAATTTAAGTATGCGTTCATGAAAATGTTTAAATTATTTCGAAAAATTTTCCATGAAAAATTTTAATAGGTGAGTGCTCTTATTTTAAAATTATATATAAGCTGGCGGAGATGAAAATTAAAAATATTTTTAAAATATTCAAAGTAAATTTACTCTTAATGATTTATTATCATGTTCTTAACATCAGTATCATTTATTTAATAAATTCAGACTGGCGAAATCTGTTAAGATATTTGACAGGGTTCCGTTAAAGACAAAAAAAACAAGATAAGTTCAGATTTGGGAGAACCAGATTATAATTCCGGGTTTTCATCAGAAAGAAATAATTATTTATAAATCCACTGATAATATAATTATATATAAATTAGAACCTTTACACGGAACCGATATTTCAAACTGGAAATCTAGGGTTTTTGGGGAATAGTTATACTAATTTTAAAATAAATTTCCGTGCAATTCTTTCTTTATTTAAGTGAATATCATATCTATTAAGTAATATTATTGAGTGATTTATATTAAAACTATATGCAAATTCCATTATAAATAATATTAGATTCAATAGTTCATGGCAAAATCTTAGGGTAGGTATTCTATACATGCCGGAATACATTTTTACCTTTTATAAGACGCGCTTAAAATATAGTTGAAAAATACCACATTGCCGAAAAAACAATTGCCGCTAACATATACATAATCAACCAATTTTGTAAAATTTAACTTAACGATATCTGGATTAAATTTAGATGATAAAAGTTTACAAGATAAATTATAAAATATTGAAATCTAAATTATATTTTAACATTTGATTTAATTTTTCAAATTATATTTACCTTAATTTTAAGGGTTAAATAGTGTCATCTTAAAAAAACAAATCACAAATGTCATCGGCAAATGAAATATTTTCTTTTAAAATTCGTATAAGATGGCCTAAAATTTTATAAACATAAATCTTAAAATCGCATTGAAATAATTAATTTTTTCAAAATAACTAAATATATTATTTCATAAAACACATCAAAAAATAGTTCGGTTCGAATTTGCAAAAAAAATCCAAGCAAGGATTTTAAAAAAAATCATACGGGCTTAAGTTTAGTTAATAAGTCTGAATAAAATATCGAAGAGACTTTATCTATAAGAACATTGGTTTTTCTTGCTAGAGAAAGTTTTGATGACAATTTATCTTATTTTTTATACAACACAGCATCCATTATATATGTTTTAAATATTGATTTTATTTTATATTCACCCATAATATTCGCATCTCTGCAGATTGTTGCATAGGCAGTCGCCCCCGAAAACTGTTTAACCTAAATGGAGACTAATTGCATATGTGGTATTTTGAAGAGAAAAAAATGAAAGGGGATTAGAGATTGTCTGATCTAAAAGGGAAGCCCTTTTTAATGAAGAATTTACCTTCTAAAATAAATAGAATTCTTGATACAATCATAAAAATAAATTGGATCTTAAAACTAGGAAAAAAATGTAGTAACTTATTTCACCTGAATTCCAATTATGAATTATTTTTCTTCATATAGCTCTGCCCAGTCTTACAAGATCAATCCGAATATCTATCGTTCAATTTAAAAAAATGGTTGTGAGCATTCCTGGTTTTGAGCAAATATCAAAATAATTTGAAGATTAACAAGGATCAACGGTATACAAAAAAACGAAAAATCCCCTTCAAAAAAAAATTATGAAAAAGATAGTTACTTTTTATTGTATTTTATATAATATATTTTATTTTAGTAAAAAAGAATAAACCCACCAAATTTTTAATAAGTTAAACATCCTTGGTCATTGGCCTAACAACTGGAAGGAGAGGAAAATGTCACTCTACTAAACCCCAAACAATATAAAGTTTTCGTAAATAACATTATAAATGAATAAAAACAACCCTCCCACACTCCTCCTCCGCAAAAATGCATGCAATGTCATTCAAAACAATATTTGTGGAAAATAATTTTTTAAACTAATGACTATAAATTTAAAAGAAAATCCGACCATAGAGTATACGGAAAAAGAAAGCCTTCCCAAACCCCCCTCCTAACAAATAAATATAATGTACTATTAAATATAAATTTTTATTTAAACATTCATAATATTATTATTAAGGCTTTATGTTACAACTTTGAACTTTTTTGAGTTGTTTTACTTCCCATTCGTTACATTTTGGTAGTTTGATATAAAACAATATGTTTGGCGATATACAAATAAATCGATGCACAATTACCATTGTTAAATATAAGTAAAATATATAAATAATAGTAAAAAGATGATGATGCGATATAATAATTAACTTAATATAATATATAAAAATTAATTTTTTAAAAACATAGAAAAGGAAGTCAATTTGAAAAATATGATGGACAAGACGTTATTTCACGCTCACCCAATAAAAGAGTTTGATTTGTGATAGAATAAACAATAAAGTCACACACTCTTCTGCTACATATGGTTCATTGGAAATATATTAAACATGTTGAAAGATATTAATTTAAAACTCGAAAATTACGATATCACCATTTTTTTTATAAACTTGTTTTTATAAATGTCAAATGTGAGAAAAAGAGAATTATTAGACAATCTCGTATTTATCGACCAGCAATTGATAATCTGAAGAAAATTTTACAAATGTGTCTTCACCATCCGATTCATCTAATTTGTTGATTTCGTTTACCTATGAAATACAAAAAATATCATGTTATACAAATACGTTGTTATATAATACATGGATATGTCTAACTCCATTAGATCAGAATTCGGTCCGAAAGGCGAATTAGACTTAGCCTGAACTGTATTTTAAAATTTAAATCTATAAAAAAAGATCATTGTACGAAACTCTCTATGCCAAAGTTTAAAATAAATTAAGTCAAATCTCAAATGATATTATAAATTTTTATACTATTATTTTATTTTAGGTTAAGCAATGGAATTAAATGAACCATGCAAAATTTCTATAAAAATAAGTATATACGACAATTCAGTAAATTCTACCTTGATATCGAAATACGGTCTCGATTTACATTCATTATCTTCTACACCACCTGCATGATTAAATATCGTCGTGGCTGAGCAAAATCCAACTTTGATGGGGAAAAAGTCTGAGCCAGTTCCAGAATCGGGTATAGAGAATTCGAGGGTACCAGTCCTATCTCGGTTATTGATTAGGGGGATATGCCAAGTGAGGGTGCCAAGGGTGTTGGAGCTGGAAGGTTTAAGGGATTTAGTATAGTCACCCTGGGTACATTCGTTTACTAATAAGGTTTTACAGGCACTTCTATACAATATATTTTATTAATGCAAATTTGTAAATCAAAAATTTTTTTTGAGCAAAATCAATTAAGCCTCAAAGCTTATCCGATTTTTTCAGCTAAAAATTAGAAAACCCAAGTCTGGTCTAATTTCTATTATAGACCTGGTCCGAAATTTTTAATTGACACTATAAATTAAAACGCATTTTTATAAAGTTAAATAAAAAAATTATATGTTCTAATCCCAGTAATATTCCAAATATCTCTTTATTTTAATAAAAGAAGGGAATAAATTCATTTCAATTATACTTTTGCAATTAAGGCTGAAGATCTGTCCGATTTTTTAAAAAAAATTTAGGCAAGAATAACAGAGCCGTGGGAGAGTAAGACTTGACAATCTGGTGATTAAATAAACGGACAATTTTGATTCGATATCGTTAAGTTAGCGAGAATTATATTGTTAATTTATATATCAGAAAGGATCTAGAAATAAAATGCAAGTCCAGCCCGAAATCGGGCTCAGTCCTATAAAAATTTTTTTAAAATAAATTAGGGCTGATAATAATTTTTCTTTAAAGATGTGGTCAGGCTTAGGTTTAAATTTTAATATGATAAAAATAGAAACTGATATTTTCACATCTTTTATCAAAATAAAATGGTAATTAAAATATACCTGGGATTGGTACAACCTCATTTATAACTTTTATTTAACATTATAAAAAATGTCAATTAAAATTCTAGGGTCAAACCTAAAATAAAAATTCGGTCCAACCAAGGGCCAAAATATCGAATATTTGGTAAAAAGAGGTCCAAACCTTTCTGCCATCTATAAGCAAAATCTCTAGGTTTACATAATATAATTTTAACTAAAATCTTAATCAAATCGTTTTTAAAAATCGGCCCGAATCGAGCTTTTTAACAAATCTAGCTTTTACCTTATAAATAAATTAGATTGCCATAAAATTTATAAAAATGTTATATTTTCAAATTTTTAATAATGATTGATTCAAATTTTGAAATCTCATTTATTTTACTAAATAGCAATATAGGTATTTTCGCATAACGCGTTCCTTACAAAATATATCATAAATTTCTATCCCCCCTCCCCCCAGTTTTATTTAATGATGAGATGCGTAATTTACATTCAGCAGTTTCCTTCTTTCTTTTCTTATCTGTCAAATTTATATATGAATTTATCGGTTAAGATTGAAAGTATCGGCCGATAACGATACTATCTGATATCGATAATTCTAATAATTACTTATTTTATATTATAAAAATTTATTTAGAAAAAAGTGTACATACGGTAAGGGTATTTGTATAGAAACGTCTTTCAACTCCAGATCATCCTTGTTTAAAGTGAATTCTATGTTAACCTCGCATCCCCCATCGCTTCCTTCTGAGGGCCAACACGTTACTAAATATTCAAAAATATACTCAACAAAGATTAAACAATTAATTTTTAATAAATAATAATTATGGTTAAATATTTAGATGCAACTAAACATTTACATGCAATATTGCTTTAAGTTATTAATTTCATTAATAAACATTTTTATAACCATGAAGGTAACTTAATTTTTGTGAATACTTTTTGCAATGTATTGCCATGCTTAAATACTTTTAAATTCAATAATTATTTTTTAATGTTTCTCATCAGTAAAATCATACCTAAAAGTGGTAAGAATTGTGTTTGATTTTGAAAATTAGATAAATGCCATTTGACAACTCCGACATCCATGTTAAGCGGGAACGATTTAGAGGTATCCTTCAGGCATATAACGTTGTCGCATGCGAATATTTTTTTATCAATATTGGGATGACACTATAAAATAGACATGTAAATAAATTTGGATGCAATTAAAAAAATATCCATCAATTATATTTAAAGTGATTAGTGTTTGTCCCCGAGATTGAATAAATCTATACATAATGCAAATGGAAAATTCTCCCTAAGAATTTCAAAAAACTTAATAAAAACTTCCCAATTTAGCTTAAAATTTGATTTTTTAACCTAAATGAGTCATGTTTGACTCTAATGAATTAACTGAATAGAATAAAAACTAAAAAAGATATTAATTTTTGGTGCATAAGCTTTTATTTAATACTTGAAACTATAATAATCGAAATATTATATACATGTATAAGAGTTCAACTCATGCTCTTCGTCTATAATGATATCATTATCTATTGATGATATATTCCCATTTTATAAAATTTCACGAGTCTAATAATTATATGTAGTATTTTAATAATTTTTTCTTGCAAATATAAATTGCATTTTATGGAAATTAACTTTTCCATGTGTTAATAACTATATCTATTACCACTTTTGGAATGTGTTCCTCCAGAAAAAGACCAAATTCTTTCCGAGGAAGTCGTAGGAATTGATAAAAAACGTATAGCGATCATACTTATAGGTTAGCAGATAAAGGCTTATCCACCATATCAGAGGTCAAATATGATTTACAATTTCCAATATTCCCACGTTTTCCCAAAACCACTCTTTAATCGAAATTCTGCGAGATTGGCTAAAACAACTCAGATAACGATTGAATGTTTCAATTAGGGCATTGACTGCAGCCAAGCCAGAACATGATTTCCACATGTTTTCCCAAAAACCATTTGATCGAAATTCTGCGAGATTGGCAACAAGTCGTATATCACGAATGAATGTTGCAATCAGGGCAATGATTGCAGCCATGCCAGATAATATCTTATCATTGGTTAGTTCAAAATTATCGAAATGAGGATCAAATATTTTTGCAGTGATGAATATTCTGACAAAAAAACTCTTTACGTTTTTCACTCGCTGTAATATATGATCACTTTCGTTACATATTTGTTTTCTAGAAATAATGGAAGATAAATCGGTATGTGATATAATCGATTTATCACTTTCTAATGTGCAAATCTGGGTGTACGTGAATAATATGTTACAAATATTTTCCAGGGCTACCTAGAGATCATCATTCAGAATTTGTAAGCGTTTTTCTATTTCTATTTCAAATTCAAATATTATAAATTAAATATTGCAAGGAATTTTAATGAAAATTTTGAATTTCGTTCCCGCCGTTTACTTTAAGAATATATGGCAATTTATCCTGTGAAATTGAATATTATATTTATGTAAATATTATCCAAAATTTGTATACCGAGCCAAGGGAAGTCTCAGTCCAATAAAAAAATGGTTTTATATAACTATTGCTCATATGGACCAATAAAGACCCGATAAAGGTGATTTCTATACCCAGTAAAAAAGAATCGAAAATATAATTCTAATATCAGCCCCCCCCCCTCCCGCAAGAGATATGTATGATAGTAAAATGATATACAATTTTATAATTAAACACCTGTAATTGAAGGGGCGATTTTAGTTGAGACAAAATATCGTGATCGTTGAGTGTGTTGGAACTCAGCGGATTTTCGATGTAAAGTTTGATCCGACCAAAAGACTCATCGCTTATCCTAACCATCAATATGCCGTTTATATCGAAAAGTTGAACGCCACCATCTTTGTTCATGGAGATGGCCACCTTTTCTTCAACCATGATTGAAACTCTTAGATTAGGGAAATAAATAGTTTTTTCGTTTTTTGTTAATAAATTTAAAGTGACATAAAAAAAGGAAACAGAATACATATTTTTTATTATGGATGAATACACTTAATAACCCGAAATATTTTTAAAGATGAGGGGAGTTTGGGGGGGGGGGGGGGAATTATTAGGAAATATATCGTATGTTGGGGAGCTTAATCAAATCCATATATAGTGGTAATGCATAAAAATTGGATATGAATGATTTGAGGCCATTCCCAGAGAGAATTTCTATTTTTTCTGGGGAGCAGCTTCCAGTTTTCCTTCATGCTTAAGGGTGTGATAGTCTTTCCATTTTGATTTCTCTCGTTGAATTTGGCAACCTTTAAGCTAAATTCCATAGGTAAAAGGTCTGATAGATTGTCTATCCTAGTGAAGTTAGCATAAGATTTTACTAGGATAGTAAATGAGAAGTGTCAACATGCATAGCCATTTTACAAAAAAAGATAACCGTAAAAACTCACTTACTACCCTATATAATGTTGTTAAACGGTTCACGATTTTTAAAAACGGCTAACTAAATTTATTAGGAAGCCTGAAGATTTTGCTCATAAGTTGCACAATCAATAGCAAAATTTAGAAGCTTAGGCATTCATTTTCTGACTAAAGAATTGAGTTAAGCGTTTTAAAAATAGTCTCAAATCAAGCTAATTAAAAACACTACATCAAATTAGATCGCCATATGGATCGAAAAATATTAACGTTTATTTCCTTCCTATTCTTCCATTTTGTCTAAATAAATGAATTTTAAAAAAATTAGGTAAAGTTTTTAAAAAAAAATAATCAGGAAGTAGCTTTTCGTTTTACGATATTTTGTAATAAATAAAACAGAACAAAATAGATAAACATCATAAAATTATTAAATGAATATTTAAATTTAATGTAATAAATTTAAAGAGTTTAAGAGAATTCATCTCTTCCTATAAGCTTTCACTTTTAAATTCGGGCCATGTGCTGCTATAGTCCTATATCTAAAGATAAATAAATTTCTATTTTGCGGGTATCTACCATGTAAAATGAAAACATTATATCAATAATAATTTATAAAGATATTTAAATTTTAGTAAATAGTATATTCATTAGTAATCGGCATCGGGCCTAATTTTTCAAGCCCGGCATGGTTTGAATTTTTTTTAAACAATTTGTCCTGTTCAGCTAGATTCCGAAAAAAATTTTTTATTCGTCCGAAAAGCCTCGCCCAAAATAAAAATTATTTGACTGCCGGCCCGGCTCAAATTTATTTAAATATTTTTGATTGTAAAAAATATATTTTAAAAATAAAAAATATTAGAGCTATGTTTCCTGCAAGAATTTAAAAGTATTTAATTTATTTGACAAAATGTAATATCATATTTAAAAATTTAAGCCTGATCCGGCTCGGCCCGAAATTTTTTAGAAAATATTAGGCCTGACACAGTCTGAATCGAAAATATTTTTTCAAAATAGACCGAGCCCGACCAGAACAGATCTCTAATATACATATCAAAATGAACACCATTTAACAATGGTGAATCCATTCGATAGCCATTACTTAAATTTACGAATTTTTCATGTAAGTTAAGTTAGTTATCTTCTGTTTTGATTATTAATATTAAAAATATTTTTAAAAGTAGCATGTTGATCAGATAATGGGCCGTTCTTTAGAAAAAAGAAAAAATCAAATTCAATAATAGAACCTATGACAAAAATTCGCGAAACATTGATTTTTAATCGTGAAACTATTCGTGATTATAGATCCAGTTGTCAAAGTAGCATTTTTTAGTAGCGGTAGAAGTAGGGCGTTACTTTTTTTGTGAGGGGTTAATAGCGTTTTACTTTAAAAAATTAACGATAGCGGCAGCATTCTCCTTTTTATAGACTAGTAGCTAAGTAGCGCGCTATTTCGCTCCTCTCAAATTTTATATAATAAATATACATTAAAAATTATTTATAATTCTAAAATTTATATTTAATTTAATTTCAAAATTTATATTTCAAAATCTAAATTATAAAATTCAGCTAATAGAGATAGATATGGAAAAGAATTTTGAAACTAATGTAAGGAAAATTTACTAGAAAATTTTTAGAATAAAAAAATTAGTTTACAGAATTTAAATTTAGATCCATAAAATTTTGAAGGATAATATCGTCCGATAAATTATGCTACTTCAACCTAAAAAGGCATCTAATTTCAATAAAATTACTACTGAATTTAGAATGATACCTAAAATATCAGAGAAATTGAAAAATATCTCAATAATTTGAAGTGTTAGAAGATAAATCAAATTTAATTAGAACTAAATTGATTAATCCTATACCATGACCAGGTTTTCCTCAAATATTGATTGATAGTCAATAAATTATAGTAGATATAGCCAATTTCTTTGGTCGACGATTCCTCATTTATCAATCTGATTAAGATATCCTCACCTGGTACCAAGATATCTTGTCGACAATCTAATATAAATTCTCAAATCTATATGACAATGTAATAGTTATCAGTTTCACCTCAACTTTAAGTTGAATAGACCTTATATTAACTAGATCCAAAGAGGAGATATATGAGCGAATGGTAAAGTTGACTAATCTAATATCCAAAAAATACATTCGCTAATACTTCAAGAACGGCATATACTATCGATGATTTTTTTAATATAAATTAATAATGTAATAGAAAATCCTATTGACGCATTTTTAAATCTAAAAATATTCTAATGAACATTACAGATAAATTTTTTTATATTAAAAATGTTTATAAATTAAATATCGCATATCACATTGCCCTCAAGTTAGTGATGAAAACAGAGCTTATACTTTCTGATAGCCACTTTAGACTGGGATAATAATATAGAGATGATATTATGCTAATGCAACGAAAATAAAAAATTAAATTTTTATATCAGTTTAAATTTCAATTAATTCTATGAACATAGATTAGATTTTAATAAATAAATAAAATTTAAAAAATTTCTAATAGCACAAAAAGTAGCGAAATGCATTACTTTTTTGAAAAAATATCTGTAATTGCTGTAGAACGATACTTTCAAAATTAGCGTTTAACAGCATTGTACAATCCAAAGACTCTATCAAACACTTCTCATTTAATAGGAAAAGTGTTACAATCCAAAAAAATTGAGAAGGTAGAAAAAATCTGTTAATCGAAAATAGACTTTCATGTACGGGTGGTATTACTCACGTGAAATTCTTTGTTCAAAAAAAATTATTCTATTATGCCTTTGTAATAGAAAGATTTATTTTATAGGTTTTCCATTTTAAGTTATATTTAATTCTTTAAAATCTTCATCGAATTCTTTCATGCCAACAAAAACAAAAAAAACTCAAATAAACGAAAGAATGAGCCCTTAGATGAATCCAAATGGATACCGTTAATTTTCAATGATGAAAACAGATTAGAGATCGATTACTCAATTCGAAAGAATTTTGTACTGTGAGAACAAGATGATGCCTAATGAAATGTTATGGCGTTATAAGAAGGGAAAAGGTCTAGGTAGCATATATTTGCTGAAGAAATATTTCAGTCAAGTATCAAGATATTTTATCGAAGGAGCTCATTGATTTGAAGAATGTATTGTTTCCTTAAGAAGATACATCAAAGTTGACCCTAAAAATTTAACAGACAACCTTTTTTGAAGTGGGATGATCAAATCCTATTATTAAATCAATAAAAAAATGTCTGGGCTTAATTTTTAAAAGGCATGAGCAAACATATACCTTAAACAGATGCTATTGAATAAGATCAAGTTGTGGAAAATTTATAGAAAAAAAAGATGAACCCATTATACTCTACTTTAAATATTATAATAAAAATTAGAAAATTATTTATGAATTTATAAGAAGTTTATATTTAACAAGTAGTGTAGTTTCGAATAGCGTGCTAATATAACCTGCTGCTATTCGTTTAAATTCGGCAAGAAATATTTTAAAGTTCAGTCATGATACATTTATTATTAGAGTAGTCGACGTTAAAAGCAATGTTACATTTCAAGTTACTCTGCAAAAAGAGTAACGTCATAAGGTTAGGATTACATTGATTTTTAAAAATAGTAACAACGTTATTACTCTTTTTTAAAGAAACCGTTACTAGGTAAAAAGATTGAATAAATTATTTTCCTTTTATTTTATATCTCAAAATTCAAATAAAGAATATTTTTTTTAAATATTATGCTATAAATATACTGAACTTATTTATTTTTTAAACAATTTGAATTGTGATTGTTTTAAATTTTTAAGATCATTTACCTCTCAGCAACTGCATTTTCTTACTGAAAGACAGTTCAATATGTGCTGATGATGCCAGGAATGTATTATATTTTATAATCAGGATTTAAATGTCTAGAAGAATTTATCCGAACGGACATATATTCATTAAAAAAAACTTATTTTATATTGAGAATGAGTCTAAGTTTTAGTATATATCTTATTTTTATCAATATCTCCTCAAAAAAGAACAAAAATAACAGCTGAAAAAAAGGGAATGAGATACATCTGTATAATTTGTTCAACTCGGTTTTATATATAAATAGTAGACCTAAGTATTAAACAATAGTAAAACAAAAATGATTAAAACAATAATAAAATATTAAGGGTTATATTTGGAATAGTAATGTCGTTACCTAATTTTTTGGGGGAAAGTAATTTCGTTAGTAAGGACATAGTGCATTAACAAAACCTAAATCTAAGAGATAATTTATGAAAACTGTTGATATTAATTAATACTTAAGCCAAATGTATTTTTTAAAAAAAAATAAGGATGGTCTAACATTATATCAGGTAATAAGAAAATATTTTTAAACATGCCAGTTCATCAAATTACTTTTCGGAGTATCTTCTGGGTGGTAGGATATCGTTATAGTTATTGTTGGTAATTTTTAAATCCTCCAGCATTCTAGGGATCTTAGTGAACTCTATTTTTAATGTTTTAAAATTATTTTATTAATTTTTTTCGAAAATGAAAGTTTGAATAGGGCATTTATACTATAGTATTTGACACATACAATTTTTAAATAATGAAATAAAACCTTCTCCTTCTGAAATGAGCTTGTCTACGAATTGATCTAATTCTTTAAGTTTACCACCAAGTTTCATAGCTTTATTCATAGCTGGAGGCCTGAAAATTAATTATATATATATAAAATAATTTAGAAATATTCTTGCAAAAGAAGATCTTATAAATATACCCTAACATACTTTATAAATTTGAGTAATTATTAAATTTTTATAAAATAAGCTATAGATATAAAATCCCAATTCTCATATTAAATAGGTGATAAATATGCAAATAGCCACTTTAAAATTCTATTATATTTAAAATTTCCTGTAAACTTACATCTTAAACGTATGTAGAAAAAATTCAAAATTGATTTTAATTTATAAAAGGATTATTTTGTTCAATATCTGGTTAGATTTTAAAAGTATAACTAAAGGTTAGGCTACATTCTAACTCACATTTTTTTCTTTTAAGAATAATATTATAAATAACTGACGAGAATATGGTTTTTAAACTAAAAAATAATAGACTGAGCGCAATCATCATTTTATGTCTAAATTTATAATATTAGAAAATTAAATAATGGGCACCTTACAGTAGAGGTCTGTAAAGTGATTTTTTCATTGCCCAAGCCCAAATTTTAAAAAAAATTTGTCCGACCCCTACTTGAGCACACATTTTTAGATCCAACCCAACCCGAGTCTGACTAAAAAAAATTTATAATTTGAGTCATTATCATAGCTAAGAAACAATTAAAAATTATGTGTATTTATCAGAGACCTGCAGAGGTACCATTTGTATGGCCCGGCCCAGATTAAAATTTTTTAGGCCCAGCCCGAATATTTAAAAAAAAATTTTTTGGGGTGCAGCCCGGCTTGGAATTTTTAAAATTATATCGACCTGGTATATACAAAAATTGATTATTTTGTATTTTATCATATTTTTTGACAAGTATTATCATTTAATAAGCAAAACGGCTAACTCAATATTTTCGCCAGAAAAATATTGACTATGCCTCGAAATTTTGAAACTATATGTCTAGACCTTTGCTCCTTCTATGAGCAAAATTTTCAGGCTTGCATAATATTTTTGTGGATAAAAATGAGTTAGCCTTTTTAAAAAATCGGCTTAAAACGAGCCGTTTAACAACACTATCATATTTTTTTTATTATTTTAAACAGATATTTAGTATATTACAAATTGATACTATAAAAAATTTGTGTAAATAATATTTTGAGAATATGCTATATATTTATAAAAAAATAAAAATGATATTTTAATTAATAAAAAATATAACATATATTATATAATAATGTATTTAATCCTTTGCGTATTTATTCCATGGCAGGAAAACTATAATTTTATCATGTAATAGATATTATGAGTGTTAGCTAGTGTTAACTTTCACCAAACATTATATTAATCATAACTATATATAATCATTATAAACATATCTAATTGACGAATATAATAATTCATGTTGTATAAATTTTTTAAAAAAATATGGCCCAGCCCGGGTATTTAAAAAAAAAAATTTCAGGCCCGGCCCAGGTATATTTTAAAAATTTAAAATACAGCCTGACCCTGATATCTGGGCCGGGCCTGCAGGTCTTTGGTATTTATTCCATATTTCCACCTTAAATAAAAGTATATTTAACCATCATAATATTAGCAATATTCATATAAAGTTTCATTTTATTAGTTTGTATACATATTAATTTTATTCAGTTTAAATATAAAATGTAAAGTTAGAATACAATTTTCTTTAGTAAAATTTTTATTTCTAAAGAAAGTGGTTGTCATATATGTGTATAGAAAAAGAAAAGTTATTTATAATTTTAAAGATAAACTGTTAATTTGAATATAAAATTTGTAAGTATAATTGAAATGTTTAAATTGTAAGCAAATTAAATGACATTTATACAATAATTATTGATGGTATGTAAATTTTAGTAGTGTAAATAGTGAGATAGAAAATGTAATAATTTAAGAAAAAGATAAGAGAAAGTTTTATCATTTTTCATTATATTTAGATTTTATATTTATACGTTTTACTTCTATCTATGTTATTTTAGAATAATTTTGATTAACTATATATTTTAATAAATTAATTTGTCATCTTCAAATTTTGATCTTAATACTAATTGTTTTAAACAGTATTAAAAATATTAAATACAAATATGAATAATATCAAATTAAAAATATATTTAAAACAAACTAATAAGGATATATTAAAAATTATATTAAATATATATATATATATAAAACATTAAAAAGAACTTAAAAAAAATTAAATACATAACACCCTAGAAAAGAGTGAATGCTTAAAAAATTGGACTGACTCTGAAGGTAAAATCCTTCATTGTGGTCTGCTGTGATCTTTCTCATTTTTTTCCTATGCTTTTAATGAAATTTGTTGGTGAGGCTAGCATATTTGTTTTTTTAAGGAATTCTGCCTTTTCAATACAGAAAATGAGATGTTAGACTTTTCAGCAAAATAGATACAAATATAGTCCTAGATGTGGGGGACCATGATATACCATTGCGGCATATGGCGCTTCATTGGAAAGGCCACTAGTTCAAGGGTGGATAAGATATTAACTTCTTGAGGGGAGCTAGGAGAATGTTGTTGATGGATTTATAGTGGGGTTGTCATCTGCGATGAGAATTTGTAGTGCAGGGAATGGTTGGCTTTCAATTCAATGATCTGACCACAATCAATGCAAATGGAGGATACTAAGGCATTACAGCCAAGGCAAAGTAATATAGATTTATGTAGTTCGCAAGTCACGAGGAGGCCAGGATTGAAAATGATGATAGATTCCTTTGCATTTAATATTATGTTTAAGGGATTTTCCTCAAAGGGCCCATACAAAATGAGGTATTCCATGGAAAGGGGAATCAAAGGAGCATCCCCATCTTTTTAAATGCTGGAGGTAGGACGATAGAGGGTGGACAAGCTGTCACTGTCTTAAAAGGTAAGGGCCAGGGATAGGTTAAGATCTATAGGAATGGATACAATATTGATGATAATTTTTGCAGCTAGATGGGATGAGATAGAGGCTGTTTAAAAATTACTGTGATTAAAAAAAAATAATTTGCATTATTGATGCATTGACATTTTTGTGAAGCAAAAGATATTATATTAATTTTTTGGGTAGGGTTTCGAGTCAAACACATTTTACAGCCCAACCTGAATCTGATAGGATTTTTCAATGCCAAAACCCAACAGCCCATATTTTCTAATTCAATTGTTTTATACCAGAGCAAAAAAATGGATGCTAGGCAATTGCAATGTCTTTCTATTAAATAAATAAGGCTTAGTCAATACTCCTGATCTGATAATAACCATGATCAAATCAATTTTTGGTGAATATTGGATTGGATTGGTTAAAAATTTAGGGATAATTTGTAGATCACTGTCCAAAATAAATGAACAAGAATTTAAATTAATTTAGCATTTAATTATAATGTTCTTCCAAGGAATGCAGAACATTGTCCCCTCCAATATTTCAATATTTTTTTCTAAAAAAGTAAATTAAATCCTAATAAATATTTAAACCAATAAATTTTTTTATTGATGTTCTTTATTATTCATACCCAAATAAAACTTTTATATTGATATTAATAAATATGATAATATAATATTAAACTAAAAAATACTGGCCATTTAGTACAAAATATAAATTTTTTTCAAATGTGCAAACTTGTTAAAACTAGATGGCTGTGAATATTTGTTCCCATTTGTAACTGTCTCAATATCAATATTGCTTTTTGTATGACTACTTAAACCAGAACTGGCTACATTAGATGATGGGTATTTAAAATTACCCCCTCGTTTTAATGCATCCTTTCTAGCTAAGGTAAGTTCTTTGGCTTTCCTTTTACTGTTTTCATTAGCCTCTCTTTCTTGGTTCTTAAAGATAAATTAAAAAAATATATTAATTTTAACATCAAAATTTTTTTTAATACTTAATGTGTAAAATGGTATGAAAAATAAAATATATGTGTATATATAATTAATAAAATATAATTAGGTAATTTGTTAAGTATGAAAAAAGTAATATGTTGCTAAAATAAGAATATTGTAATTAATTTAAATATATATACTTGTCTAACAGCTTGAAATACTCTTTCTTCGTGAGAATCCATTTCTGTGAAGGTTTTAATTTGTGATAAATTAACATTTTCTCGATAACCTAGTGCTATAATTTCATCAAAAGCTGAAATCAGTGAAAAAACATTATCCAATACATCATTTTCAGTCATAGTTTTACAATATTCTGGAATCTTAATAAAATAATATAATATTTATCTCTAAAATAAATTATGATACTATATAAAGGTAAAATATTTAATATATTCCAAATCAACAATTATTTAATTATATATAACAAATAAAATATAGCATGATAAAAAATGATATTTTAATTATCACTATTATTTTTTTTGAATACTTACTACTTTTGAAAATAATCTTAAGGTTTCCAAATCTTCTAGAATGTTGCTAGCTTTTGTGGTAATTAGTAGCATATATAGTTTATCTAGCGGCTGATAAACATATCTAACACTTTCAGTGTCAACAAATGTATGTTGCTTACCTTGGTAAGTATATAAGAAATTATTAAATTTTCCTTTATTGCATACCTGGTAAAATAAGTTTAGGAAAGGCAGCTAATAAACCCTCTATTCTTGATTTACTCATGTCCATAAATTGCCGTGAAAATATGGCTTAAAAATTTTCATATATTAATAAATTTAGGTAATTCATACTTTTCCCAGACTTTGTGCATACTGCCGCTGCTAACAGTACCTGTAATAGTTTAAAATATTATAATAATATACTTCTATTTTAAATTCTACCATTGGTTATGTATAATTATGAATTTATATTGGGGCCACGTTTAATTGATATTTTAACGAATGCTTTCATGAAGTCTTAAATCACACATGACTGGTATCATTTTTTTTTAAATGTAAAAAAAAAATACAAATACATAAAGTAAAGTAAAGTAAATTAAAGATAAGATAAGAAATGTATAAACAAACTTAGTATTTAAAAATCAATGATAATAATACCGACTAATATTTATATTATATTGTTTATTTTGAATTATCTTATTACCAAATATCCAGAGGTTCAAAAATGATTAGAGTTTAATGGCACTATGAAAAATATCTATTTTTTATAATTTTGGAGAAAGGAGTAATTCTGATTCTGAATATAAGCTATATATGAATGAAGTTTAAGAAAGATTATTTAAAATTTTAAATTTATCCTGAATTAATATTGAACCTAATGGTTACATTATAGTTACCATAATTCAAAAGTCGAAGCTCCTTGGTTTAAAGGAAAACATCATATTTCAAATCACTTGAATATTGGCCAAATTATTAGCTAAAATATGGAAATCTAAAATATTAATACCTTTCACATTTTTATTTTACCTCAATAATACATGAGGAATATCACTCCATTTGAGCCGATTTTTAAAAATGTCTAACTCAATATTTTTCCTGATAAATTATTGAGTTCGCTGCATTAAAAAATCGGCTCAAGCGATTTTGCACACTAATAATACCAGCGTCTACATGAGCGGGAGAGGTAGGAACAATTCGCATCCTATTTTTTTGAGGTGGGTAGGGGGTAGGCTGCTTTAATGGGGGTAAGATAAATTTTTTGGGGGTTATCTATAAATTTTTGAGATGAAATAGAACAAAATTTATTGCTGTAAAAATTAATACTTTTATCATAGAATTATTATAATACAATTCATCGACCAAATTTATATATTGCAAACAATCATTCACATTGTTTTCCAAATATGCTATCCTTTTAAATGTAATTTAAAAGTTTCAATATTTCAGCAAGCTCATAATGCTATAATAATTAATTCATTGTAAATAATGGAGGTTTTAATTGAATTTATTATCTAAAAAATAAATTCCTTATATTCACAAAATATCGATAGTTGGTAGTAGAGATAGATTCATTTAAGTTACCCTTTATAAAGTCTCTGAAAAGAGTATCAATAAATTAAAAAGGTAAGGTGGCGAGATTTTTTTAGGGGGGGGGGGAGGGGTAGGCAAAGGTTTTTGAAAGGGGTTTGCATCCAGTGAAAATCCAATCATGTAGACGCTGGCTAATACTATCAATTAGAAGTCTGAAAATCCTAGCCCAATTTGCTCCGTTAAGAATTTTTGAACATGTTGCCCGACCCGTTAAATTTTTTGCCAAGTCCGTCTTGGTATTTTTTTTTTTAAATTGCCGGATTTGCCCGTAAATATTTCATAAAAAGTCGGGCCAATTAAGTCCTTTATTTCTCCTCTATTTAAATCTGTATTGTGCATTTATAATTGAATCATATTATAAATAAATTATTTAATGTTTTGTGAATTTTTTGAGATTAAATATTTGGTTAAACAGTTCTTTAAATTCAGAAATAGCATATCAAAATTTTTTTTAATTGGTATTAATCAAAATCAGAATATTCTATAATTCTAAAAAAATATATCATATTTTAATGCCAGGGTTGGCCTGTAAATGTTTAACGAAAAAACATATATTAGCGAGGCCCTGTCTGATATTATATATATGAATTGTCAATGAAAATTTTTCATGCACGAATTGCCCGGGCAAGTCTGGTTATTTTTATGCCACGCCAGTTTAAATATTTGAGCTAGAATTTAAGCCTGACCGTGTTTTACAGATCTCTATTGGTCTTTAGACTCAAGGCCAGATGTTTAGATGGGAAAAAATTAATTGTCGAAAAAGAAGACTCAAGATAGAATTAAAAAATTGAAAAGTAAATCTTTCATGCTAATTTTGGCTCCAACTACTGCAAATGATTGCGGAAATTTTAAAAAGGATAAAAATTTATATTATTTATTATTTAAGCTATCATTGATTTTCAAAAGCAAAAAAAATTACATTTTATATTATAGTATTTGAGCATTTAGCACAAAAATTTATATGGCCTGGCTAATAAATATTTATGTGCTTTTCAAGTACTGAACTTGATTCTCGAAATGTATATCAGGTATATTAGATTAGAGAAGGTTTGATGTTGCAATATTGTAGATGGAACAGTCCCAGGATTCAAGAGAAAACTGTGGGGGATTGTTAGGAGAGGAATAAAGGTAGCAGGGCCAGAAAATAGGTATTCAGCCATTCTTAAAATAGAGCTTCTGCATTGAGAACATAAACTTCTATCCAACTTAATATGCGACCATTAGGTATTACAATCTGATGATCATCTATTAATATTTTATTATATCATATCATCAGAAAATAAAAACTGTTCACCAACTTCTTAGAATGCAAGCATATGTTTGTTGCATAAGAATCTATATTTCTTTCATCAATACTGATTACACACACAAGAATGACATCTAAAATAATTGAATAATTTCCATATTTTGCTACTAAAGAATAATAGTATAATATTTATTTTAAAATTTCACCGTACAGAAATGTTTAACTTAACAGTATATTTATTTTTTTTTTACCCCTTTTTTTTTTGAATAAATTGGTTTTATTTTTCTTTAAAACAATAAATATAAAAAAAAATATAATTGATAATAATAATGAATTTCCACTTTTTTTTTAGTTTATATAAGATTATTATTATTTTTTTTATAAATATTAAATTATTATTTATTTTTTTTTTACATAATAAATATTAAAATTATTTATATAATGACGTTCAAGATGACTGCGCGAAACAAAAAAAAAATATTAAAATAAAATTTCAAACAAAAAAATATTTATATAATGACGTTCAAGATGACTGCGCGAAACAAAAAAAAAAATATTAAAAATAAAATTTCAAACAAAAAAAAAAATATTTCATGACTCATACAAAAAAAATAATAAAACTATTTATAACACGCCCCCATTAAATGAAAACCCTTGAACATACAAAAAAATTTAAAATTGTTGTTTAACAAAGATAAACAAGGGGTTTTGTACATAAAATCAAAATGTAATTATTTATTATTCTCTACATATGTTAACATAAATAAAAAAAAATATATGATGTAAAATATCTTATCGTATTTTTCCCGAAAATCTATTAAGGAAAATGATATTTAAAAAAAAAAAATTGTTTTATTATTACAAAATTTGTAAAATTTATTCTGGTCCCATTACATCCTCCAACAATTCCTGAATCTCAGAGGCCGACAAATCAACCATCGGCCACTCTTCAGCGTAATAGGCCCTGGGACTCGCCTCCGGCGCTTCTTCTCGAAACGGCTCAATAATCCCCACCGGTCGCCCTATCGCAGTTATGGATGGATCTTGTTGCGGCATTGCCTCTATCGTCAAAGGCTGCAAAATGGTCCTAACTGGGCGTGCGTCGCTCCTTCCCGGGCTTCGGCTTCTGTGGCTCGTCGTTTCCCTATTATCATTTAAGTCTTGCCTACGATTTGGCCCACGGGGGCACCGCATTCGCAAATGACTAGGCGAACCACACAAGTAACAAGAACGTCTCCTCCTCGAGCGCATGCTGAGGTGCCGGGGATCCGGTAATTCGGAGTGATCTAAATTGTTCGTTATTATTCCGGACACTCCCCTTTGGACCGGGGGCGATCTACTGTTTCGGCGTATTGGAGGCGAATGGTCTATTATGCTTCGGTAATTCAAAGGCGAGATCGGTCGCCCATCCTCATTAACATATCCTCGATAAATACTTATCCTAACGGTTAAATTCTCCCAATATATGCACCGATGCCTCCCCGACATTCTTTTTTAAGGAAAAGGTATAATATATAAAAAAAAATTAATAACAGTTTTCACTCACTTTTCTTTTGGGTCAAAATGAATAAATACAGGAAAATTTTCTTTAACAAAATTAACAATTATACAAAAAAAAAATTTAATTTTGCATTTGTAAAATTCCCCTTCTAACGCCCAATTATTGGAACCTTCCTTGTTTGTGTCTCGCTTCCAACTGTCATTGCCGAAATTTTTTCCGTGTTTCAGTCCAACTTGGAACCACTTTTTATTTGTTTCCTAGTCCAATTGTCACTCCTTTTTATTCTATTCTCCAATTATATACAAGTTCTATTTCCAACTTTTGATTTACGATCCCGACATCTCTCAAAATTATCCCTTACTTTAATTTATTACTTTGGTTAACATATCCAACATTTTTAACTTTTTGTGCATCATTTATTGGCACTCTAATTAATTCCCCCTTTTTTTTTTAAAAAATACTCGCTTTATTCCCCGAATCACGAAATCATTGACTAACTGATATCATTGATATTTATTTTATTTTCTATTAAATGTGATGTAATCCCGTAATTGTGGAGGTATTAATATCTCGGGTTAATTATCATTATCGATTTTTTTTTTTAAAATTAAATTTGATTTAATCTCGGAACTGCGGAGGTATTATCATCTTGGGTTAATTATTAGTATTATTATTTTCTATGTGCTTTAACTCGAGAATCACGAAAGTTTTTTTTATATATATATATATATATATATATAGCCCCTTAACCTCCAACATTATTAGCACCGGTTACCATTATCATTATCGATTTTTTTTTTTTAAATTAAATTTGATTTAATCTCGGAATTGCTGAGGTATTATCATCTTGGGTTAATTATTATTATCGATTTTCTTTTTTTTTATTAAATTTGATTTAATCTCGGAATTGCTGAGGTATTATCATCTTGGGTTAATTATCATTATTAGTATTATTATTTTCTATGTGCTTTAACTCGAGAATTGCTAAGATATCTATCCCTCTCTCCTCGCCGCATCATGGCTAGATTTCAATCTTTCAGACTCTACTCTCTTCCGTATCTGTTCTACGTGTCTAACTCCTTCCTTTCCGTCCACGAATTTTACTCTCACCATTTTATGCCCCATGTTCTGTATAATTATTCCTGACTCCCATTTTCGGGTACCTCCAAAAATTCTCGCCCATACGGTCTGACCATTCACAAATTCACAC